TAATTCCCATGCATTAATGTAGTAGATGTGGTGCATTGTGTAGTAGTCGTAGGACTGGAGTAACTATTGTGCATTGATGAATAACTTACCGCACATTACTAAAGAAGTTCACATGTACTCATGTTAAGAGGTGTTCTCACTTGAATGAATGAGACCCTATATATATATATATATATATATATATATATATAGGGAAGGGTTCAGGTGCGGGTATAACTTCCCGTGCGGTTGTGCGGTTAAATCTGAGCAGTTGATCAAATTTAGATCAACTGCTCAAATCAATGAAAAATTTAAAAAAAAAAAAAAAAACGCGTGTCTGGAACAAAGAAGTATAAGCTAAGGCGCACCTTAAGTGTTAGATCTTAAGCACAAATTCACGCACATTAAGTACAAAACCCACACACATTAAGCACAACCTCACGCACATTAAGTACAAAACCCACGCACTTTAAATATTAACTCACAGACTCTAAGTTTCAACAACTACTAACATTAAGTACAAAACTCACGCACATTAAGTACAAAACCCACGCACATTAAGCATAAACATCACGCACATTAAGCACAAAACCCACGCACTTTAAGTATTAACTCACAGACTTTAAGTTTTAACAACTACTCACGATAAGCACAACCCCATGCACATTAAGCACAAAACTCACGCACATTAAGCACAAAAACACACGCACATTAAGCACAAAACTCACGCACATTAATCACAGATCCGCTCACCTTAATTTTGACCTAGGTGCAAAAATTACAAAATTGTCACCGCGTTTTTTTTTTAAACTTTGATAATCCTGAACGTTGATTTAAGCGAGATGAAAGGCCCAAATTAAACCGCACAACCGCACCTGGGCACCCTAACCGCGCCAGAACCTAAATATATATATATATATATATATATATATATATATATATATATATCGCACAAAAGGCCTACATACATTGTAAATTGTATGGGAGTTGCCTGTGAATGATGAGCCATCACAATAAGTGATCACAACTTTATTCCAGTCGAAGAAATCTATAACATAATTTGTCACAAAATAATCCATTAGTCAAAAAAAAGGTGGATTCATCAAAAGGTGTATTAAATTAAAACAAATATACCTGGATTTGTTGTTTTGTTATTGTTCAGAATTGTACCAAAATAGACTGGTATACCAAAAGGTGTATTATTAGCATATTTGATGCAATATCCTGGGGTAGCGCACCATCCTCCTCCCTGTTATCCAAGTAAATGATTCATGGTGTCTAATAATTCAAAAAGAAATTTGACTGGTATGTTTTTTTTTTTTTTTTTCCTGTTGGATTTAATATATACTTACAGGAAGAAATACTAGCCAATTGTGAATTCCCTTGCCAAATCCCTGGAGAAAGTAATATGATGCTGGTTTCCCACTCAAGCAAACTGAGAGGAATATTTGAAATGATTATCATTATATATATATATATATATATATATATATATATATATATATATATATATATATATATATATAAAGACGGATCAAGTGAGAACCAACCTATCCATTAGAGAACTTAGAATCAATCGCAACCGTCTACGTGTCTAAATCTAATAGATCAGAAACATTATTTAAAAAAAAAAAAAAAGATTCGGTGGCATTTTTATAAATAATTGAATTTTGAAGTGCGCATAAACTATGTTAAAAGTGCATTTAATAGTTTCATTTAGTGCACTAAAGGTAAGTAAAATGTATTAAAAGTGCAACAAACAATGTACACTGTGCATCAATATTAAGTGTATCTAACGTTATCATTAGTTGCACCAAACGTTATCATTAAGTGCTCCAATGTGACAAACATTATCATTAGGTGCACTAATGTTAAAAAGGTAAATTATTTGCACTATTAAATGAAAATGGTTGCACTTTTAAGTGATTTTACTTGCACACTTACACCAGTTGCATTTTTAACACGTTACTTGAACCAAAGTTTGAGTTATTTACGAAAATACTTCTGCGTTTTTAAAAAATTATATCTGATCCATTAAATCTGGATACATAGACGCCTGCGATTGGTTCTCATTTTTTTTTTCTGGGCATTCGTTTTCACCTGAGCACGCTCATATATATATATATATATATATATATATATATATATATATATATATATATATATAAAAGTTGGCAATTATTATATATATTATTACTACATTACAGAATTAATTAATGAAATAATAAATATATAGAAATTAAAGAGTTTTAGAATCATGGTAGAAACTAGAATAATTTGAATAAATATTACCAGCTCCCGTATCAGGCTGTACAAATGTTGGATTAACATATACTCCTGAAAATTAAATATAATCCTTGTTATCGATCAACAAATTAAAAGAAAGTAAAATATTTTCGATCTTGAAAGTTAATTTACGAATAGGCCTTAGGGCAGGGGAGACCTATACCATTAGAAGTTAACGTGGTAAGTTGAAAGACGAAGAATAATAAGAGCAGTATGAGTTTGGTTTTCATTTCTTTAAACTATCAAATAAAATTTATATATTTAACATTATATAAATATTAAATTTTAAATTATAAAAAAATTGTTTAGAAAAATAAGAGTTAATTTATATTATAAAGAATACATAACGCTTAGGAGAAGGTTATTAACGTAGAGTATTGATTTTTAACTGAACTATTTAATATGGACATTTATTATTTTAAATTATTAATAATTATAATATACTATATGACACAATAATATGTACTGGGCATTTATTATTTTTAAACGCATATAAAACGTAAAATGGGTACTAAAGTAAATTATTAATTTTTAAAGGAGCAAACCCAACGAAGTTGGTCGTGCAGTTGACTTGGTAATTATTAAGTTTCAAATTAGACATCTATCCCGTAAAAATTGTTTATTGACTTTCTTGATTTGAGTTGATCAACTGTGGACAACCTAGACTCATTTATCTCATTGTAATTCTTTGCCGGCTACCTCATAAGGAAGGAGAATTTCACTCCACACTTTTGGATAGTAACTACAAATTTTTCAGTAAATCAAAGTTTAGTTTTTAACTCAAAACTATTAATTTGGACATTTATTATTTTAAAATTTTAATACTGAAATTACTATTTTAGTATTTTCTACATACTTTACGTGAAAACTTATGATCAATATTTAAGCTCAATTAACAAATCATTTTGAAATTGCATTTGTAAAGTTGGGTGTTTTGAGTTGCAAGAAGTTCCATAATATGATTAATATCCAACTAAGGTTGATTTTGTGCATGTATTTGAAGCACAAGGTTATTCAACGGTGCATAACAAGGTTATTTCAAGAGGTTCCATAATATATATATCCACTTAAGGTTGATGGATATATACAACTATAATTTTAAGTAAGGATACTCAATTGTGTATTTCAACTCGATCTTTTCTCTTTTGTTATTTAGTTAACATTGCATGTAGCTTTCATTGTTTGCAGTCTCTCATATATAGGTTTAGATTTATGATCATATAGAACAATTATTACAAACATAGTACAAGATAATCTTATTAAACATTATGTGCATGTAGTGTACTAATTATGTTTATTAAACTTTGTTTTTTTCGAATATATAAAATGAATACATGAACCTACTATAGGGCGGGTGAAAATACATATGATGTACATTCAGTTTAGTATTTATGTACATTAAAATTTATTTTTATGAACATATAGAACAATTATTATGAATTTGATACAAGATAATTTTATTAAACATGATATACTAATTAACGGTGTCGTTTTGGACCAGAATCCACTATGCAAAGTGAACCCTGGTGCATGATATAATTTGTACCAAGCTTTCAGATTTTATTAGACTATATCATAGGGAACGTTAAGGTGGGCACGCTTCCATATCCATAATTTCTATACTGTAGATTCATAATTTCTATACTGTAGATCCATAATTTCTATACTGTAGATTCATAAAGTTTATACTTTAGATTCATAATTTCTAAACCGTAAATTCATAATTTCTATACTGCAGATTCATAATTTCTATACTGCAGATTCATAATACCTGTACTGTAGATTCATAATTTCTGTATTGTAAATTCATAATTTCTAAACTGTATAGTTATCAAATTATGAACATATAGTTTTTTGATTTGTTAAAACAGAGTTCAACAATTAGAATCTAAAGTATAAATTTATGAATCTACAGTATAAAAATTATAAATTTACAGTATAAAAATTTATGGATATGAAACCGTGGCCGCCCACCTTGCAAGGTGGGCACGTGCTCGCAACATAATTTGCCATATCATAGACCCATGAACCTGGCCGGCCCAAAAACATTAATTTAAGGTTTTAATTTATTATAGCTATTGTGCAAAATTACAAATTTAACTTTGGATTCACAACACATTTTTTTCTTTCAATTCGAAGATATTTGAAATTTGAGTTTAATTTTTTATTACAAAATTGTCGTAATTAATGATCAATAGTGAAATGATATACGCACCAATGCAATGCCTATAAAGTTGTTCCTTAATAATTACTTTAAAATATATCTACTATACTAATAAGAGGCCAAGAAAGTTAGGCCTATAATAGGTATAAAAAATGGCGGTCAAGTTTTTTAATCAAATGAATGGCTCAGATTGATCAGATTTTAATTTTTTTCTTAAGATTTACTAATTTATCCTTAATGAATATGATTATCCGTTAACTTTTCCGTTAAATATTATTTTTTCCGTTAATTTCTGTTAGTTCACCGTTAACTTATTCATTGATTTCAATAAGAAAGGTATTAAGTTTGAAGTTCGAACCCCATCCCAATCAAAGTTGACATATTTAGTACTCTATTTTAGTTTTATTAAATCAAATAATAATAATTTAGTAGTTACAACAAAATATAATACATATGCATTTCGATCTTTAATTTAGAATTATGTATCTATAATGTTTTTATTCAAAAAAATTATTCATTATCAATAAATTAAATAAGAGAAATAATTTCATTAGTTATATTGTCTTTATTTTTCTCCAATATAAAAATTCTTTACATTCAAATTCATCAATTGATTATATTCGCTACATTGTCCCTACAATGTCTTTATTAAAAAATATATATATATTCATTATCAATAAATTAATTAAGAGAAATAATTTTATTATATTATATTGTCTTTATTTTTCGTCAATGTAAAAATTCTTTACATTCAAATTCATCAATTGATTATATTTACTACATTGTCTATTATCTTTTTTGTGCACTATTTTTTAATTAAATATCAAAGTTATAATACAAAATAATGTTATATATTTATTTACCAAGTATTTTATTAATACCATGAAAAAATTAAGAAAAATATAATTAATAAAGCCAATCATATTAGCTACTTGAGGAATTTGTTGACAAAGAGAGTATTCAAATCACACAACAAATTGAAGTGAGAACTATCTCGTAATGTCCTTGTTTGACAATTAGTAGTTAGCGGTTAGCGTTAGCGGATTATATTAGCTGATTTGACCAGCGAATTATATCAACGGTTGGTAAAAAGATATATTTGAAAAAATTAGCTTTTTAGATTAACATGTAAAATGACCTAAGGGTATACATATAATAATAATAATAATAATAATAATAATAATAATAATAATAATAATAATAATAATAATTGTTTTACAAAATAAAAAAAAAATAAAAAATATAATTAAGCCAATCATATTAACTACTTGGGGGATTTATTTACAAAAAGAGTATTCAAACTACACAACAAATTGGAGTGGAAAACTACCTTGCAATGTCCTTGTTTGACAATCAACAATTAGTTCTTCAATATTAGTATATATTTAAAATTTTATGCCCTAATTTTTATTTGCTCTCCCTTTATATCCCGTATTTGGTTTCAATTATTTATGCATGAACAATTCTAATATAATCCTGCCTTGATATACTTTAAAGTACTTATTAAAAAAAAACATTGGACATTATCTCAATCGCGCAATGCGCGTAAAAAACTAGTAATATAAGATGTGTTAATGCTCAATATGTATCCAAGGGTGATAGAAAATATAAATAAATAACAAATATGCTTATTGATTTGTAACTTGAATATCGCGGAATATGCCTAGAATAGGGTAGCATTCTCGTAAATAGACTTATTCATTTGTTTGATAATAATTTTTATTGTTCATCATTAAATGAGCTATGACTGACCTGTTAATACATTGATGTCGCAGTTACCAAATTATTTAAAAATATTTTTTTTAAAAAATTTTATTTTAATAAATTTAAATAAAATAATTAATTAAAAAATATTCTACATAAGCTAACTCCATCAATCTAATACTGCTAATCAATTTAAGCCCATTTCAATCCAATCATCCCAAACAATTACCTTATGAGGTGAATTCAGATCTAAAAATACACAATTTACATACTAAATGTTTACAATTTTACATACTAAATGTTCGCAATTTACATACTAAAAATTTACAATTCAAATTATAACTTTTAATATGTAAATTGTGAGTATTTAGTATGTAAATTGTGTATTTTAAACTCGAATCCACCTTATAATGTAAATTCGGCCGGTGCATAATATGAGTGATGGGAATTGATTTATACGCCTTACACCTTATTCTATTATAGGATATATATCTCTGGGCCCAAAAAAATATGATAACATTTGAACCTTATACTATGCGATTACTAACAAACAGATTACGTTTAATTTAAAAACTTATCTTGGATCAATTTGCTAATTAAGCGCCAAGCACCTTGAACTTAAATGACATGTAGTGATCTCTCTCATATGGGAGGATATGACCCACCCCTACTAGTATGACTCTATGCATGATGATGACCTACTTTGGAATTCAATTCTCACCCCATATTCTTCCTTAGCCTTACCCATAATGCCATTTTATCTTCGTTGTATAAAAATTCCTAATTAATCTTTTCTATAATTTCTAAAGAAAACTTTTGTGTTAACTTAAATTTAAGAATTACTGTTGACAATTTATCTAATTATTTTTTAAAATGATATATTTGATTCTTAAGTTATACCCAAGTATACATACATTTAGTCCTTCAAGCATCTATTTTTAACCTTATCATACAAATTCTCATTAGCTTTTGATTAAATGTAGCGTAATATCAACGAAAAGTATTAAAATCACTATTTTGAGGCAAAAATTTGTATAAGACTGTCTCACAGGTCTCAATCTGTGAGACAGGTCGGATCTTTGATTAATGAGGTCAAAGACCCGTCCAATTAATCAAATACTTGACCCATTAATAAAAGATTCGACCCATCTCACGAATTGAAATTCGTGAGACGGTTTCACGGATTGAGACCCATGAGACGATCTCACACAAGTATTACTCCAAATTTGAAATCATTTTTAGGCATACACATAATAAAATATCACCTAAAGATTGCTATTTGTATCTTTTTTTCTATTAGGTAAAAGAAAAACGTTATCATTCATGTATTATTATGTTTTCGTAGAATATTGTATAAAGTATAAACA